GGCAGCGTTTAAAGGGCCAGCGCGGGGCGTGAAGCCACGCGGGGCGTGAAGCCACGCGGGGGTGACGCGGGGGGTAACGCGGCCCCAACCCGGCCCTCCGCGTCCGGGTGTCCTTACAGACATCCCAGGGGACGGGGGGGGTTACACCCTGCGTGCCGTGCCCCGGCCACGAGCCCGCACGCGCGGGGCTGCGACTCCTCTGTGCGTTAATCACCCAATTCACGGGTTTTTTTACCCGTTTTCAGCGCTCCGCACGTGCGCGGGGCCCCAGGGCCTCCCGCAGCGCCCTGCCCAGCCGGGCTGTGCGGGCGGCAGGGACAGGACGCAGCTCCCACGGGCTCAGGTGGGTGTTTCCCTCCCTCCCACGGGCACGGGTGGGACAGGACGCAGAGACATCGATTAACTGCAGCCAGTCGTTAATCTTTAACAATTTAACTGCCGCACGCGTTGCACAGTCTGGTTGCACAGAATTCCCGTGGGGCTGATGCTGCTGGTTCACATTCTTATCCAGGTTGAAATGGAGAATGATGCAAGAATTAAGCTTTCAAGACGCTGCTGGTGTCACCCCCCCGGGTGGGAGGCTGTGGGGTCACCAGGAGCACCCCGAGGGCCACTGTGCCCCCCCTGGCCCCTGTGTCTGCTTGTCAGGCCCTGACAAAGTGGCAGGGGTGGTTTGGGGGGTGCACAGGGAAGGTTTGGCAATAGTCAGGCCGTTGATGAAAGCCTGTTTCCTTGGGAGAGGCAGTTACTGATTATGTGGCCACTCAGAGATGCACAAGGAAAATTGTTAATGATGGGAAATAGCATTTCACTGCCTTTCTAATTTTCAGGGTCATAGGAATCAACACACTGATGGACACAGTCCTGTGGGATGCTAGTGGAAATGTCCTGTGCCCTGGGGTGTGTGAGTGGGGATGTGGAGCAAGACAAGCCACAGTAACCCCCCCCCCCCAGAATAGCCTTAAAGGTAGGTCTTGAGACACCTGTTTGGAATTTGGTGGTGGAAAAGGCCCCCAGAAACCATCCTTACCTTGTGTCTTGCTGGATGCATCTCAGAACTGATTAGCAAAGTCTTTAAACATACTAAGAAGAAATGCTGAATATTGGGAGCACATGACAAGGCTCCCTTTTGTGAGGAACAGTGCAATCATTTCACAGTGACAGGAAGTGTCCCCCAGACTCCCAGGCTGGCAAATCTCTTATCCATTTGTCTGACAGAAAATGTAGTTGAAAGCACAAAAATAAGGAGGTGGCAAAGTCTGTAGCAAAGCAAAGGAAGAGGAGGAAGAGCAGCTGTGGCAGGCGAGGACCAAGGAGAGTCTGGTTTTCACTCCAGTGTGTTCAGGGACTGGTTTTCTCCTGTTTCCACTTCTGCAGTATGTCATTTGCTGCCCTCAGTGTGGCTTCCTCCTAAACACACATGGCAGGGTCAGTCAGTGGCTTCCAGCCAGATCCCCTTTCTCCTCCTTGCAGTCTCCATTTGCATAAAAATCCCTCCTCCTGAAATATCAGGAACTCCCCGTGGTCAGTGTGAGAGAGAAACAGCAGCTCTGGGGCAGGCATAGACACTGGGCAGTTCCATGGGCACCCAGGAGATGTGGGATGCTGATGGGGCAAAGCTTAGGATGGCACTGACACACTCCTGTCCCTGGCTTGGGTGTCTGCAGGAGGGGGTGGGACCATCTGTGTTGCCATGCTCAGGCTCTAATGCCCAAGGCTCTCTGCATTTCTCCTTGGCATTTATCTCATTACACAGCCCTGATTATTACTCCCAACCTCCCCTGCCTTCCTGCTCTCACCTTTGCAAAGCAGAACCGGATGAAATGGCTGTAGTTGTTTTTGTGGGCCTCACAGTAGAAAGCAGAGACTGGGATAGCAGCAAGTCCCTGGGAAGGGGAAACACATGGAGCAGAGGTTACTCTTTCTGGGCTGACATGAAGCCATCCATTTATTGCTCTCAACCCTCTCAATGGACTTGCAGATGCCCTTGGTGCCCTGCCTTCTCACTCTGCTTGAGCTCAGGCTGTTGGGGTTGAGACCAGCTGCTGAGAGACACCCAGGCACCTGCTCGATGAGCTGCTGGGCCTGGCAGGGATGCTGTGGTGCTGGCTCCTGTGAGCACAGCCAGCAGGGAAAGCACAAACCCACCCAGGGCAACTGTGGCAGAAAGGGCTGGATGCATTTACCTTATTCTTAACCATCCACTTTGCAAATCTGGAGTCGTAGGGCTCATCAGAGTTGGGGACATCAGGGACGTCAGACTCTGCAGGAGAAGCACAGAAGTATGAAGGGTGGGGCTGCTGTGGGGGGTCCCAGCCAAGCTCCAAACCCACGGCCTTTGGGAGCTTACATAGGGAACATGCTGTTCTCTGTCCTTGCTTTGGTGGTGCAGGTTCCTGTCCCTGCTAGTGGTGCTGCCCCAATTGTCCCCCCCAGACTCAGCCCTGCCGGAGTGAAACCACAGCCATGGGACTCACTGAAATCGGAGATGTCTGCCACCAAGAAGTAGGTGCCTTCAGGGATGATGGGTTTCATCCCCACAGCATCCAGGCTTTGGACCAGCCAGTCTCTCTTCTGCTGCAGCTCCTTGGGTAGTTGGATGAAGTAACTTTCTGGTTTCCCATAGAGCTCAAGCTCCCTCTGGAAACCCTGACCCACAGCCTCCTGCGAGGAAAGAGGAACCCAGGGGGAAGGAGGTCAAGGCTTGCTTGAGAACTGGAGTCTTTCCTCTGGTGCAACTCACAGGTGATTGGGGAGCAGAGGGTGAATTCTCACTGCACCAAGCTAAGCTCTCTGCCTCCAGCCCTTGCAAATGGCCCCCTGGATTTGCCAATGCAAAATAAGGAATATACCCCAGGCAGGCTGGACTCTCCCCTTCCTCTCAGGCATGGGGTGACTGCAGGGAAAGGGGAGGGGAGCCTCTCCAGGGCACCACACATCACCTTGTCTGTGCCTTGCAGGTCACCTGTGGGCAGAAGGACCCTCTCTCACCCCTGCTTTGGGGTTTGGGAATTGCAGGGAGCTGCCTTACCTGGGCAATGGTGGCACAGTGGTACACAGAATTTTGGTGCACGGTACGGAGGTGCTGCAGCAGCCGGTTGGGTCCCACAGTCCAACCCACCTGCAGCCAGGAGAGGAGGAGGAAGGGGGTAAGTCTCTGGATAGCTGCTTGGGCTCCCCTTCATTTGCCTGTGCTGGCATGATTTCTATTTTCTAGACAGGTCTATCATAAAGCAGCTTTGGTACTTTCAGACCTGCCCCAAAGGTGAGTGTGTGGCAGCAGCTTGCCCATGTTCTGGAACAGAGGGATGGGGTGACAACAACGTGTCACCCAGGAGAATTCACCTTCCATCCAGTGATACTGAAGGTTTTGCCAGCACTCCCGATGGTCACTGTGCGGTCCCACATCCCTTGCAAGCTGGCTGGCAACAAGAGGAAAGAGACACAGTGTCACAACTCAGCGTGCTCACTTCTGGGCTGCTCTTTGCCCACTGTAACCTGTGGTGCCTCTTGTGTTCACAGCACATCTTTCACCTGGGTGAGCTTCAAAGCACATCTCAAGCAGGCAGCCAGGTTTCTCAAGAGCATCTCCTTGTAATTAAGTGTTTTCATACGCATGTACCCGGCCCCAGGGTTCCTAGAGGTGCCAAGCACCTTCAGCCTGCAACCAGGTGATTGCAAGTTGCTGCAACAGGAAGAACAGGCCTCTGAACTCATGTTGAAATGGATGTCCCAAAGCTAGAGACACCCAGAAAACTGTGGTTTTACAAAGTATGGGGGAAAAAAAAAAGGGGTCTTTGCTCTGGACGTCCTGTTGTGAACTCAACTCCATTTCCTCTGACTGGCTTTGGAAGTCGAGGCTCCAGTTTAAGTCCGGATTTGGAAGCTGAGACTGAAGCGCAGCAAAATACCTCCAGTGGGGATACATGTCTGGCAGAGCTGTGCATGCAGGCAGCCCAGGTGATTCCCAGGGGGCCCCAGCTAAATCACCAGCTCCTCCCCTGAAGATGCTGTACCCAGAGGAGAGGCCCAGGCTCAGCCAAGTCCCTCTCCGTACCAATGCGGACGTGCTCCTTCCCATCGTAGACCAACCACTCGTACACCTCGTCGCTGATGCACAGCACGTCGTGCTTCACACACAGGCCTGCAATGAGCTCCAGCTCCCCTCGGCTGAACACCTGCAGCAGAGATGCAGCAGGAGCAATCCTGAGGCCCTGCCTGCACCATCTGCCAGCCAGGGGGAGCAGGATGTGGTGGTGTCACAGGACAAAGCCACTGCTGGCACAGAAGACCAGGTTTAAAAACACCCCAAGAGTGGGCGCAGCATGTGACATTGCTACATGACCCATCTCCCTCGTGTGTAAGGATGGTTGGGTCACTGCCAACCTGCAAAGCTGGGTGAGCTATAGCACCCCAACCACTTCAGGGCCAGACACAGCAAGGCCAGAGGTGTTACCTTGCCTAGAGGGTTGTTGGGTGAGTTCAGGACGATGGCTTTTGTCCGTTTGCTGAATTTAGAAGCCAGTTCAGCTGGGTCTAGCTGCCAGTCTGCACTAGACATCAATTTTCCATCTTTTGAAGGTTTCTAGAGAGAACAGTGGGGAATCTTGGCTTTGCTTACCCCTCACCTCTTGGCTATGACTATTCCTTCCTCAAGGGCTTTGCTCTGACCCACTCACCGGTCTCAGTGGGACAAACACGGGTGTCCCACCAGCCATTTTCACCATTGGCTCATAGCAGTCAAAAAAGGGCTCAATGATTATCACCTGGAAGAAAGAGACATGTCAGCACACTCCTGGCCCTGCTCAGGCCTTCCCTGATGGGTGCAGAGAGCAATGGGAGGGACAGCAAATTTTAATCCTTATTCTGCCTTATGTAGAAAGAAGACAGTGCCTTACAGCAGAGGTTTTTTTCCTTTGGAACATCAAATATTATGGAATGGGGATACAACATTTTCTGCTTTGCAAAAGGACTATGAAAACCTGCCCTTGGAAGACCCACAGCCAGGAAGGGCTCTACTGGGGGAAGGTTGCCTGTGCAACAAGCCCAAGTCTGGGGTTACCTCATTGCCTTCCTCAATGAAAGCCTGGAAGCAGCAGAAAAGGGCCTGGTACGCCCCGACAGTCACCATCACATTGGTCATAGGATCCAGGTCTCGTCCAAGCAGCTTCCCAAAAAACTGGGCTAGGATCTTCACCAGAGGTGGGTGACCCTGTGGGGTGAAAGGAGGAATGAGAATTCGGTTGCAAAAGTCTCCTAAAACCTGGGCATCCAAGCTTGCAGGGTTGCTGGTACAGCAGGGTGTTACAGCCCTGGGCACAGGGGGCTGGGGCTGAGGCTGGATGCAGGTTCTGCCTCATGGTTTGCCCTGTTTATTGCCACCTGTTGAGCCCTGAAGCAGGCAAGGCTACTGGGGAATGAGGGGGTGTTGCTGAGGAAGGGGGTCTGTCCACGCACGAAGGCACGGGTGTACTGGTGCAGCATGTATTTCTCCCCGCTGAGGGCTCTCACGAGTGCCTCCTTCAGAAAGTCTGGTGGGGGGAAGTCAGGGAAGCCCTGGCCCAGGTTCACTTTGGAGTAGGTGGCAGCCAGTTTTACAAAGTCCACCCTGGAGAGAAGAAAAGGAGAGAAAGAAACATTTACAGATGTCTGGGCAGTGTGCTGGCACCGTCTCTGTTTGCCAGCATCCCTTGGGAAGTGAAGGAGGTTGGTGTCCCTCCTGTGGAGCCATCCTGCTGCTCACAGGCAGACAGGACCAAGCATGGGTCATTTCAAACCCATTTAAATTAAAACGAGGAGCCATGATTGCACTGGGAGTGGTTAATTTGTTATTGAAGGAAACAGCCCTCGTGCTGCCTGGGGGTGTGGTAACAGCTGACGCCACACACCAGATCAGTCCAGGCTGGTCAGGAGAGGTCTGGGAGGTTTTCAAGCTCAAAGTTCTACACAATTTAGCAACTAGACACTTTGAAGGCCTCTGCAGAGGGAAAGGAAGGCTGAACTCAGCACTTGTCTCACCCAAGCCAGCACTTGCTGGCTCATCAGCAGTTT